AGAGATTTAAGGACTAAGGCCAAGTTTGGCTACTTCAAAAAAAGTCAAAAAGCCAAAAAGTTACTCAAAAAGTTAAAAAGTTAACACTATTCACCAAAAGTCAACAATTACGGCTGCACAACTCCCAATTCAAATTTTTCCCTACAAATCAATTTTTACAATTTTTTATTACACATTTTTCAATAAAAAGTCAAAAAGTTAACCCAAACATCCATATTTTCAACCTCAACTTTTTAGTCTAAAAAGACAAAAAGTGCACTTTTTTAGTCTTCCCAAACTTGGCCTAAATCTTTTTCTCCCGAAAAGTGAAATTTTGTTACAAAAATTATTTGAAATACAATTTCTGTTGTCTCAAGAATGGTCGCTCAGACATCATCCTGAATAGTCAAAAAAAAAAAAAAAAAAATTTAAAGATAAATTTTAAAATATCACTAATAAATATACTTTTAAGGAAAAAAATACTCTACAACATATTACAGGTTTAGTGACCAAATATTTTGGTCTCTAAAAGTGAAAAGTTTGTTGGAAAAGACATTTAGGGCATGTTTGATCGGATGGATTAGAGCATGAGATTGAGATTATTAATCCGCGGGCCTAATTATTCTATGTTTGTTTTAACATTTTAGTTTAGGATTATTAATCCAATGAATAATTAATCTAACAAATTTGTAGGATTATTAGTAATGGGGTAGGTGTGAGATTATTAATCTAATGGATAATTTATCCTATTAATCCAATTGGATAGTGAATACCACACTAATTTGATAAGATTATTAATACCTCACTATTAATCTTGTGAATCAAACATGGCCTTAGGAACTAATTTCCATCATCATGAGGATACCTGTTAAAAAGTCGTCCCTAAAAGGAAAAAAAAAAGGCTTTTAGTGACAAAATTTTAAAAATGTTACTAATAAATAGACTTTTAAAAACAAAATAATTTAGTCTCAAAATAGTTTATTTTTTAAAACAAAAAAATTGGTCCCAAAAAGATAATAATTCGTTACTAATGTCTAATTTTCGTTGCTAAAAATATAATAACATTTTTTTTAACAAAAATATTTAGTCCCTAAAAAATAATCTGTCTCTAAAACTTTAATTTTTTATAGTGATAACTTAATCCCGTAAAGGTTTTTTTTTTTTTAAACAAAAAAAAAAAAAAAAAAATTATCCTATGTTTGTTTTAACATTTTGGTTTAGGATTATTAATCCAATGGATAATTAATCCAACAAATTTATAATGGGATAGGGGTGGGATTATTAATCTAATGGATAATTTATCCTATTAATCCAATTGGATAGTGAATACTACACTAATTTGATAAGATTATTAATACCTCACTATTTATCTTGTGAATCAAACATGGCCTTAGGGACTAATTTCCGTCATTATGAGGATAGTTGTTAAAAAGTCATCCCGAAAAGTAAAAAATAAGGCTTGTAATGACAAAATTTTGAAAATGTCACTCATAAATAGACTTTTAAAAACAAAATAATTTAGTCTCAAAATGGTTTATTTTTTTAAACAAAAAAAATGGTCCCAAAAGGATAATAATTCTTCACTAATGTCCAATTTTCGTTGCTAAAAATATAATAAATTTTTTTTTAACAAAAATATTTGGTCCTTAAAAAATAATCTTAGTCTCTAAAACTTTAATTTTTTATAGTGATAACTTAATCCCATAAAAGTTTATTTTTTTTTAAACAAAAAATTTAGTCCTAAAAGTATAATACTTCGTTACTGAATATATAATTTTATAGCTAAAAATATAATGATATTTTTTATAACAAAAATATTTCAATTTTAAAAAGTGATTTTATCTCTAAACTTTAGTTTCTATATATTGTTTTTTTTGGTTTCATAGGAGTCTCTATTTGTTGTAGTGAAGAGACTTGGTACTAATCTGATTGACAAACATTATTGTGTGTAGCTTAAAAATAAAATAATAATAACAAAGTTGTAGTGTAAAGAGAGATTCGGTGGAATTAATAGGGAATGCTTTCCGCATAATGAAAATAAAAAACAAAAATAAAGGGTAGAAGGAAACTCGACTGGTGGAGGGGAATCAAGAAAGACTGCATGTGCATATTATTCAATGGTTTTTATTTCACCACCGAATAATATTAGAGAGTTGAGCCCTCCATTATTACGTATATGACAAATTAAAGAGCGCTGCTTTGGACTCTGTACGGAACGACCCTCAGCACCCCTCATCCATGTGAGGGGCTGTTAATGGAGAAAAAAAAAAAAGTTTTTATCAATCAAAAGAGACCCCAGCACCCCACTCGGATCTTATGCATTTTCCCAAATTAAAAGTCAATACATATACTCTCACATCACTCTAAATGAGTGTTGAAAAATTTACATTTAGTACAAAAAAAACTCTTTTGAAAAATTTAGATGCGTCTTGTTTAACATGATTATCGATATAGGCAATTCAAATTAAAAGTTAAAACAACCATGATCAATGTAAATGAGAGAAAGAGAAAATTAATCTACGACACAAAATATTTTTTACATGAAAAATCACAATTGAAAAACCATGGGCGCTAGACTAGACGAATAATCTACTCTGCAACAAAGGTAGTACAAGAAATCTCTTACAAAGGCCAATCTAGGCAACACAAATCCATTCACCAGCACACATCTTTGCTCACTTTACAGGTACCTCCGCAATCTCCATTGGATATCCGCCACGGTTGTCGAATCGCCACAACGTCAATGATTTCAGAATCTACTGAAATCTACAATATTGAAATCCACCAAAAAGGTTTGTCGAATCACACGACGCCAATGACTCTGGAATCCACTGAAACCTACAATTTTGGAATCCACTGAGAAGGTTCATTTTTCGAAAAGTGTAACAAACTTACAAAGCCAAATCATGCCAGGTCTAAAAGGAATTATTATCTTTTGACTTAAAATTATGATAACAAAAAAGCCAAAAGAAATAATGACAAAAGAAATAATGAAAACAAAGACACTTTCAATCAATAACCAGGATATTAAGTTTTGTTAGAAAAGGTATAGTGAAAACACAAATTATTAAATCCTTTAGAATAAAAGTCTTAACGAGTTTGAGAAGTCGAGCAGTCAAAGCGTAAAAAAGGTTGAAGCACATCCTTGGTATTGGGAGGGTCCCACTCTAGTGATTACCACTAATCTATGTCATCGTCGATGTTGATCCCTTTAATGCTGTGTTTGGTCGGGGATTTGAGGAGGGATTTGGAAAAGAAAATGGAAAAAGGTAGGTGAAATGTGAATAAAATATACCTATATTTCACCTAGTTCCACACACATTTTTCCTTTCCTTTTCCAAATCCCTCTCCAAATCCCCCAACCAAACACAGCGTAAGAGTCACAGGAGCAAGCGGTTGTCCATTATCATTAGGCAAAAACAAAGGGAGCCTCTTCAGACTGGGGTAGTGTCTTACATAAATTTCTTCAATGGAATCACAAACCATTATTCCTTCGCAGATGCTCTCCAATTTCGATAGAGAATCAAGCTGCAATTTCTTCAACTTGGTAAGTATGACAGGCACATCGTAATTATTTATGAAGAAGCTTGTTTCCATTCCTTTGCAGAAGCTTTCAAGTTCAGATAGAGAACAAGAAAGCCACAATCTCTCTAGCTCTGACAGAGTGGTACGCACACTATCGAATATCTTCTCAATTTTATTACAGTCTCGGATCATTATCCTTTCCAAGTGTGGCGGCTGCAAGCCAGGTGTGAACACGCTCTTCATTCTGCGACAATGCGAGATTTCCAAGATTCTAAGATTGGAAAAGGTTCCATGAGGTGCAATTACTTCAAAACTCAACCAGGACCCCACCAACTTCTTCCACACAATTAGGCCCCTAAGATCCCGCAAATCAACGAGAATCAATTCTTGAACGCTTTGAAATGGGGCATTACGGGACTCTCCTAATTGATCATTATCTACTTCTATCTCCTCCTCATTAATTGCGGGATAAAGACAGGAAAGTGGAGGAGCATACGAACAGGATGCTCTCTATCCCTCCGCAATTTAGGTATCATGAAAAATCTTTCACGAAAATAATCATGAAAGCTTTATGACCCTTGGATTACACTTAGAATAAAGTACCACACTAATCAAGGTAATTCAAGGATCATAAATTTTTCAAGATCATTTTTATGAAAAAAAATTTCATGATCCCTAACTTTTCCCTTTCTAATTTCACAAAACTGCAGGTGTCTTGCATTACCCTAAAATGACGGGAAAACATCACAAAAATAGCCGCTGGTAAACAGTTGATTCCGAATCCTTAAGGCCTCAAGATCGTATGGCAGAAAACTGACTTCTTCTCCCTTGATAATGTATGGTATACCTTTCCCACACCATGATATGAGTTTGCTCTAACTTCTATATTCAAAAAGAGAACCACCTCCAAACTGAAGAATATACTTGCCCAATGGCACCTCACGGTGTTGTAGAAATTTGAGGAATACGTTGAAAGAATGAACATCTTTCAAATAGGCATCAATTTCTTCCAGCTTTGTCAACCCCTCTAATTCCTCTGCTGCTCGTATTTGTACAGGTGTACGTTCAAGTCTAAGGAGTTGGAGATAGGAGAGTCTGGTAAATGTCCTGCTTGGTATATTCCCCAGCATATGTGTACCATTCATATTCAAATTCTTTAGATTGACCAGCATGTCCACACCTTGAGGTAGTCTATTAATTCTTGTAAAACTGAGGTCCAATTCTTCTAACGCTCTAAGCTTTCCCAGTGGAGGCACATATGTGAGTGAAGTACAATGCGCAAGCAACAATGCAGTGAGTTTCACCAAGTCTGATATGGAATTTGGCAACACTCTAATTCCAGAACTACCGGACAAATCAAGAACCTGAAGGGCATGCATATGCATGAAGAATGATGCTGCAATACTCTGCAACCTATTGTCTTTCAAAATCAATGTTGAAAGACTAGGACACCCACAGGACCAACCACATGGAATTTCTTGTATGTTATTCTCCATCAAGGAAACCTTTTCCAGATTTCCAGCATATTCCTGCAGATGTGGAATTTCCTTCTATCCAACACCAGCTTTTATCATGAATCGATTTTCTGTTATCTTTAGTGCCATGTCCTTAATCAAATCATGCATCTTCACGTAGGCATCCCCATCATAATTGTTATAATGTTCCAATAAGCAGGACCTTTCAAGTTTATTCAAGATAGTGTGACCCTCGTCAAACTGTCTTATTAAACTCTTCCTTCTGTCAATCAGTCCCTCAGCAATGAAATATCTTATTAATTCATCTCTTGGTATTTTACAATCTTCAGGATACAAGGCGCAATACAAGAAACAATCCTTCAATTTTGTGCCATTCAAGCGACTATAACTAAGTTTCAATGACGATAATACATTCTTTTCCATATCTTCATGCCCCATTGTAAGTTCCTTCAGTTGTTCAAACACATTCCTCTACCCACGAATGTCGTCCACCCCTCTCATGCTTGCAGCCATGGTAATAATCGCGAGTGGAAAACCATCACATTCGTCTGCCACAAACTTTGCAATCTCTATTACTTCTGGAGAAAGTGTCGTGTCCTCCCCATTACAAAGTTTCGCCCAAAATAAGTTCCAAGCTTCTTCTTCACAAAGAGGTTCCACTTTGAATCCTTTGCAACCCATCTTGCGGCATATATTGAATGAGCGAGCAGTGATGATCAACTTACATCCATTAGGAATTCTGACCCTATGTAGATCAATTTTATCCCACACATCATCCAAAAAGAGAACACATTTCCCCCTTCTTGCAAATGCTTGCGACAATTTTGCTGCCCTTTTCTTCTCATCGTTCTCATTTGACAAATCTAAGTTCAAACATTCAGCAATGTCACTCTGCAGCTTACCAATGCTATAATCACGGTCCTTTGATACAGTACACCAAAAGACATGATCACGAGTTTCAGAGTTTTCTATAAGTTTATTACGGATGTTCACAGCCTGGGCTGTTTTGCCAACTCCCTCCATTCCACAAATCCCAATGCGTAATTCTTCAGATGTTAGGGAAAATATGTGTGATTCCCCACAAGTAAATCAATCAATGGGAATAAAAACTAACGCGAAAAAATTAAATCAAAGGCAACACAAGAATTTTTACGTGGTTCCCTCAATGTGAGATACGTCCACGGGATCGAAATCCGATTCCACTATCAACCAAATAAGTTCCAAACGATTACAAACGAGACACTAATAGTCTCACAAAACCACCCTTAGGTGAATTCCAAATAATCACAAATAAATAAAGAGGAAAGACCTCACCAAATAGATAACAAAAATCTTCAGAATCAAAATTGAAGAAGATCCAAAATAATAGACCCAAATCAGCACCGAATCAAAGCAGCCACGAACGGAGTAATTTTCAAAAGCTTAGAACAAATCACTTCATCAAACTTTAATGCCACCAAATTAATTGATCAACTCAAGCACCAATCAAAACTTGGAACCAATGAAGTTTCTAAGCACCAGGATCAAAAAAAACACACCCACTGAATTGAGTTTCACTTTTGTTGCTGCCGTTTTTTTTCTTCTACCAACGGGGCAAAAACATAAACAATATGTCTATATATTGTTAATTGTTAATTCTAGAGTTTATATCAAAACCCTAGTTGTTACCAAATTGAATTAGGTCTCCACAAATTAAATATAATATATAAAAATATATTATACTTAATACTAAACCAAATTAAACTCTTTTTCCAAAATTAATTGGGTCCCACACTCCAATAAGGAGGTATACTTAACAATTCTCCCCCTACCGACTTAGGTGGAGATATCAACCATACCCGCCAAAGTTCGACACTTCAAATGTTTGTCCCTCGACAAAGTCTTTGTCAACATGTCTGAAATATTATCATCTGTGTGAACCTTTTCGAGTTGCAACAATTTCGAATCTAACACATCACGAATCCAATGGTATCTCACATCAATGTGTTTCGATCTTGAATGAAAAGTAGAATTTTTGCTCAAGTGAATAGCACTTTGACTATCACAATAAAGCATATACTTTTCTTGCTTCAAACCCAACTCTTACAAAAATTTCTTCAACCATAACTCTTCTTTGCAAGCTTCCGTAATGGCAATAAATTCAGTTTCGGTAGTTGAAAGAGCAACACATTTTTGTAATTTAGATTCCCATGCCACAGCTCCCCCTACAAAAGTCATCAAATACCTCGAAGTAGATTTCCTAAAATCAATATCACCGGCCATGTCAGAATCTGTGAACCCATCAAGCATCGGCTTACCATCCCCAAAACACAAACACACCTTCGAAGTCCCTCGAAGATACCTTAGAATCTATTTTACCGCTGCCCAATGCTCTTTACCCGGATTAGAGAGAAAAAGACTCACCACACTAACTGCATGAGCAATATCCGGCCTTGTACAAACCATGGCATACATCAAAGAACCAACTGCTGAAGCATAAAGAATTTTCAACATCTCTTCCTTGTCTTTCTCACTTGTAGGACATTGATTCGAACTAAGCTTGAAGTGACCCGCAAGTGGACAACCAACCGGCTTCGCTTTATCCATATTGAACCTCTCAAGAACTTTCTCAATGTAGCTTTCTTGAGACAACCAAATCAGCCCCTCTTTGAGATCACAAACAATTTTCATACCACGAATTTGCTTTGCCGGTCCCAAATCTTTCATAGCAAAAGACTTGCTCAACTCCAATTTCAACCTGTTTATCATGGTAGAATCTTGACCAACAATTAACATGTCATCAACATAAAGCAAAAGAATAAATTTGCCATCCGGAAAATTTTTCACAAACACACAATGGTCCGAAGTGGTTTTAGAAAAACCATTATTCATCATGAAAGAGTCAAATTTTTTGTACCATTGCCGCGGGGCTTGCTTGAGGCCACCATACAAACTTTTCTTCAATTTGTAAACAAATTTTTCTTTCATTTTCTCTACAAAACCCTCCAGTTGCTCCATGTAAATTTCTTCTTCAAGATCACCATAAAGAAATGCAGTCTTCACATCAAGTTGTTCAACTTCAAGGTTCATATTTGCAGCCATGCCAAGTACAACCCGAATAGAAGACATCTTTACAACCGGTGAGAAAATCTCGTCAAAGTCAATCCCTTTCTTTTACCCAAAGCCTTTCACAACAAGACGTGCCTTATACCTCAAATTCTTGCCATCATTCTTCAATTTGAAAATCCACTTATTTTTCAGAATTTTCCTCCCCTTAGGCAACTTCACTAAATCATAAGTGTGATTTTCATGCAAGGAATTCAATTCCTCTTCCATTGCCTTTTTCCAATCATCTTTCTTTGCATTCTCAATTGCTTCTTGGTAGCTCTTCGGCTCTCCTTGATCAGAAATCAACACAAATTCATTGGGAGGATACTTTCTTGAAGGTTGCCGGTCCCTTGTAGATTTCCTCAACTCAAGTTGTGGTGGCGGTTCTTGAGTTGGATGCTCTTCCTCAATTTCTAGCTCAACTTCATTAGGATTAGCATCATCTTCTACATCTTCAATGGGTGGCTGCACATCTCCCCCATTTTCATCATCAACTGAAGATGAAGGAGATAAATCCATGTCAATGAGATCACTAGTTTTTGGCTCCGGTTGATCACCTTTGCCAAAGTCTTCAATTGTTTGGTCTTCAAGAAACACAACATCACGACTTCAAATGACTTTCTTGTCGATCGGATCCCACAATCTATACCCAAATTCATCATGCCCATAGCCAAGAAAAATACATTGTCTTGACTTGCTATCAAGCTTGGACCTCTCATCTTTTGGAATGTGAACAAAAGCTCGGCAACCAAACACTCTCAAGTGCTCATAAGTCACATCTTTACCGGTCCAAACTCTTTCTGGAACATCACTATTCAAAGGATATGAAGGAGACAAATTGATCACGTTAACTGCTGTCTTCATTGCCTCACCCCAAAAGGATCTTGGCAATTTAGCTTGTGAAAGCAAACACCTTGTTCTTTCCACAATGGTGTGGTTCATCCTTTCGGCAACTCCATTTTGTTGAGGAGTCTTCTTAACTGTCTTTTGGTGCCGAATGCCTTGGCTGCGACAATACTTATCAAATGGCCCAATATATTCACCACCATTGTCTGATCGGATGCACTTCAATTTCTGCCCTATTTCTCTTTCAACCATGGCTTGAAAAAGCTTAAATACTTCTAGAACTTGATCTTTAGTTTTTAGTAAAAAAGCCCAAACTTTCCTTGAATAATCATCAATGAAAGTAACAAAATAAAGTGCACCACTATGTGTTCTAACTTTTAAAGGACCACAAACATCCGAATGAATCAACTCCAAAACATTTTCTTTTCTAGAAGCAACATTTTTATGAAAAGAAACTCTATGTTGTTTACCCGCCAAACAATGAACACAAGTTTTAAGATGTGTACCTTTCAAACCGGGTAGAAGTTCTTTCTTGAACAATACTTGTAGCCCCTTTTCACTCATGTGGCCAAGCCGCTTGTGCCACAATTCGGTAGAAGTATCATCTTCAAGTGCATTAACAACACTTTTACAAATTTTTCCTTGCATCGAATAAAGTGTATGGGTCTTCTTGCACTTAGCCACCACCAAAGAACCCTTTGTGAGCTTCCATATTCCATCACCAAATTTGCTGTTGAAGCCTTCATCATCTAGCTTCCCAGTAGAGATCAAATTAAGGCAAACGTCGGGAACATGCCTCACATCTTTAAGCAACAACTTGCAGCCCAAATTTGTTTTCAAGCAAACATCACCCATGCCAATAATCTTGGACAAGCCTTCATTACCCATTCGAACAAAACCGTAATCTCCTTCGGTGTAGGTAGTGAAGAAGTCAACTCGAGAAGTCACATGAAAAGAAGCACCGAAATCAACCATCCAATTGCCTCTTGGCCTACAAAATTGATACAATCATTTTCACAAATGACCATGAGATCACCATTGGTAGTAACTGCCATTGTGTCTTCTTGGTTCTTGTCCACACTTTTGTCACGCCTTTTCTCCTTATTCTTGAGCTTTCGGCATTCTCGCTTCATGTGCCCTTTCTCATGGCAATAATAACACTCAATGTTTTTTTATGAAAAAGTACCATTTTTTGATTTGTCACGGCTTTGATCACGACCATGAGGAGTCTTACTCCTCCCCCTTGTTTTGCTTCGGCCTCTCACAATGAATGTTTCTGAATGAAAGGAACCTGCTGATTTTCTTCTAGTTTCTTCATTCAACAGGCTACTAGTGACTTGACCCATTGTGACAACTCCATCAGGCGCCGAATTACTGATGGTCACAATCAAAGTCTCCCAACTTTCGGGCAAAGAACTAAGTAGCATCAAAGCCTGCAACTCATCATCAAAAATAATTTTATAGAAGCAAGTTGGTTAACAATACTCTTTATTTCATTCAGATGTTCCGGAATAGGGCTGCCTTCTTTATATTTTAAATTAACCAACTTACGAAACAGAAAAGCTTTATTTGTGGCTGATTTCCTATCATAAAGGCCTTCTAATTTTTTTCATAAATCATGTGCTGAAGTTTCAGTAGCAACATGATGAAACACACTGTCATCAATCCATTGACGGATAATACCAACGGCTTTTCGATTAAGCCTATTCCATTCATCATCTTTCATACCCTCGGGTTTGCCACTATTACCCTCAATGGGTCCATACAAATCTTTACAAAATAATAGGTCCTCCATTTTAGTTTTTCAAGTTACCCAATTACTTCCATTGAAGCTAGACATACGACCCACATTCCCCTCCATTGATTTACACAAATAAATAAACCAAAATAAACCGTAAGCTCTGATACGAGTTGTTAGGGAAAATGTGTGATTCCCCACAAGTAAATCAATCAATGGGAATAAAAACTAATGCGAAAAAATTAAATCAAAGGCAACATAAGAATGTTTACGCGGTTCCCTCAATGTGAGGTACGTTCACGGGATCGAAATCCGATTCCACTATCAACCAAATAAGTTTCCAAACGATTACAAACGAGACACCAATGGTCTCACAAAATCACCCTAGGTGAATTCCAAATAATCACAAATAAACAAAGAGGAAAGACCTCACCAAATAGATGAACCAAA